CACATCAGCGGTAATTAAAGTTTAAAAGTCTCAAAAATGCTACAACTACTGTCACAAACTAGATGAATGTGGAGTATGTTGTTAAAGGAGGATGAAAGCGTAATTAAGGAGAACTATTGGATTGACTTTGATGGTTATTGGACTCAGGATTAATTCATTTGGATTCCCGCTGAAGAAATTAAAGGACGACGCAAGTGGAAACAATTCACAAAGGGATTAAACTGTTTAAAACACATGCTCAAAAAACCGGATTTCACCGATGTGTTTATGTGGATTCAAAAGTCGTAAATAATCTACAAAATGGAGGAGACAGATCTGATCGGAGCAACTGTGAAAAATAATCCAACTGAAACCGGCATGGACAATGACTATGTTTTAAAAATGCGCTTATCCAGACAAGCCTGGTTTGGACACTTTACGGGCAGAAGAAACATTTCTATTAAAGAAAAAAATATACATTTCTGTCTTTTTATGCCTTTAATAGCTACTAACTTGAATTTTTATTAAAATGAATTAATCATTACCCAATCATACCCCCAGGTTGGGAACCACTGGCCTAAGGAGCCAGCGAAGCAGGAAACAAAGAAATAAAGGTCAAAACCTGAGACAAATAAAAATTCCTATCTGTGCTTTAAACTTGTCAAAAATGATTACATTTGGGATATGAACATCCAATCAGTTTAGACACTTTAGCATATTGGACTAAATCCACTGTTGCAGCTGATAAACAACAGGACCCAAAGGGCTTGTTAAAGTTAAGAATTTGTTCTGAAGTATTTCAGCTGTAACTCTTGAGTATTGCAATGTTCTCTGTGCATTATTTTTGCTTTGTACATACTTGAGGCCAAATGCCGACGTCCTCGGTCAGGATGTTTTGGACTGGAATGCAGTGATCCGTAAGTCAGACATAGTGTGGGGATGGAAGCTGCAGAAGGCATTTTCAACTCTGTCCTTATCTAACTTCACACCTGGAAGCATAAGCAGGGAAACACTGCTCCTCAGACATGGATTTGTTCTGACTGGGAACACCTGACTCACCAAAATCTGCGACATTGTGAGCAGAGCAAGTAAAGAGAAGCCAGACCAGGTTTATCCATAATTAATCATCGTCTGTGTTTTTCATTTTAATAAATATATAATTGACTCTATTTTGTATGTACTTGTCCATAATGTCACATCTTCTGTATGACTTGTTTAAGGCAAGCCTGTGTCACTTTTGCTGGACAGCAGCCACTAGTGACAATTGATCATAGTAGATGCTAAAATATAATGCAAGAAGGAAAAAACTCACTCACTAAACTCACCTGAATGTTATCTTTGTTTTGACTTGTGTATTTGAGTCGTCACCTTTACTGAGTCCAGGTAATTTAATAAATATAACTTACTTATATATCTTCATATATATTTGTATCATATATTTATATTTAATCAATAACATGACAACACAATCCATAGTGAAGAATACAATGTGATAAGATTAAAAGCTTCATAACTGTAACAAAATGGATCTTAAGATTATATTGTCATCAATTAATTATTTATTTATTTCATTGGTGATCCAGGTCTTTTTAATATATTTCAAGATTTCTATTGTTGACTTGATTTTGATATACATTCCTAATAATTATTTGTGTATGTTTATATAAATATTTTAGCAATTGTTTAAGGTAGTTTTGTTCTAGGTGTTTTTTATTCAACTCCACTGAAGATTTGTTTCCAAAAATGTTGTTTTTTACTGTCACTATGCCTTCATTCTTGTAGTACACACCTGTGCATGAGACGATATTCAATACATACAATACAATCAGCATAAGTTCATACAATTGTAATATAAAGAACTGAAACAACATTGGTGGTTTGGGATTTAAGAAATGACTTGTGCATAATTTTTACAACACAGTTTTAAGTCTGTATCAACTACATTGTGTCACAGAGAGTCTCTAAAACACTATTCTTCTAATCTTTGACGTCTTCACTTAGAAATAAAAAACCTAAACAAATGTATTGAATATGTTTTAAAACTAAAACAAATAGATAGACCACATACAGCAGCTCCTACGAGATTGAGGAACACTGACCTCGCCAATGTTGGTGTTGATGCTAACACATTTAAATTAATCTAACAGTGCGCGTCCAGCCGTGGCCGAAATGTCTCTCTCCCTGTCAGCCTCCAGAAAAAATAAAAATGGAGGTCAGAGCCAGATAGGATAGGGTCCTTTGCAGGAAATGTAAAGGCAGGTGCACTGAGCATATCTTAACTAAGCTCACCCTGCCTTGAGGCTTTTCATTTGAGTTGTATCTTATATGACAACACACAGTGCAGTTTGACAGGGATTTAAAAGAGGACTGAGTGAACAGATGCAATCTTAATGTCAAACTTTCTCAACAGCTAAGTTTTAGGGATAAGTTTGCTCAATCAAAATGCCTGCAGAAATCTGTTTGGATTGAAGTCTTTTCCTCTGTGCCAACAGATGCCCATTTGCTATGTTCACACTCACCAGAAAGGATCATCCACAAGGGGCGTATTTCATCACACTGTGTGTTGGTGTTGGCAGATGCACACTGTAGGATATCTTGAACTAATTATGTACCACAGTGAGATGTTATGCTGACAGTTTATAACACTGCACATTTAAAACAAGGCCAAAACTATTTGAATGGTTGCACCCATTTTGCAGATTAGTAGGGTAGAAACATCATTTGGGTTATGTGCTCAAATGTTCGTTTATTTTACCTATACTGTACATTGTAAGGGAAACTTCTTTAGCAATGGAGAGTCAGGACTCAGTGAGACACGAGGAGAGTTGGAGATTTGATGTCAAACACTGATGATGGTTTATTTGGAGTTTCGGCCGGAGAGTTGACAAGACAGGTGGTGTGTCACGAGTTGACACAGCGGTTGCCAAACAAATTCTGAAGAACTCCTTCTGTAGCTCAAGGTTTTAACTAGTTCGGAGTGTAATAATCAACATTCTTCATCAGTGAGACTAAACATTATGGACCCTGAATCTAACTAGAGCTCTCGTCCATAGAAAAGCCAGGGAACCTTCATCCCTGGACAGTACACTACCTCATGGACTGGCAACAACAATGCGCCCAAGCTGCTCCTCCTTAAGAGAGATAGCAGCAATACCCAAGGCCGTATACCTATGCCATGGGAAAGGAGACAGTGAGAAGAGAAAAATTATGAATTGTGTCAAAGGTTGAATACCTAAGCAAATTATTCCCTAACATACATTATTGTCTTACTTTTACACATGACTGACTTATTTGACTGTTCCTCTATATATAAATATATGGAATCATGAGAAATGACATGTCACGTTTATGGGACAGGTACAATTGTACAGTTGAGTTTCTTCAGATTTGTAATTATAACAATTGTACGCAACTTTGTCTTGGTGGCTTCTGCAGCTCAGTCTAAACAGCATGTTAGCTAGATATCCTTTGAATATTATTCGAAGCATTGAAAGTAGGGGTATCAAATTTTCACTGCACAATAATCATTGCCAGCAGAATTTAGATAAACTATTTTATTACATCCTTTTCCAGGAAACTTCCTAAGAAATTATTGATACATATCAGTTCCTTCATAAAAAGTTTTTCGGAAAGCACAGGCATGGTCAAATGAAATGTTACTTTTGTTTTGTGTTTGTTTTCTACGGGTTAGTTTAGAAGTACATGCTAAACTCAATCTGTTTTATCTATCGGTTGCTTTGCTGATGTGTTGGTTTTGTTTTGTGGTTTCAAATAAAAATATACAAAGAAGTTGCTAAGTGATGTAATGGCATGAAAAAGCCACTTAACTAAACCTCACCTAATGGACCACATCAGTTCATGGAGGACATTTATTAGCGGTGTCGTTAGATCATTTGCTGCAGTCTTGGCTAACTTCCTCTTTTGAAAATGTTCGAATGTTTGGCATCACAGCATAATTAACTGAACTTTTGTCTTTCTCTATCTCTCCTTACTGCCAGCTCTCTTCACTATTCAGCATCCTCCCTCGGTCTACTGCCTCAGCCAGTGTTTTTCTTGTCCTTGGTTCCACACATCCAGCTGTCTGCATCAGCCTTTTGGGAGAAACAAAGTGACTGTCTGGATACAAAAAGTTATTCGTTTTTTTAACGTTTCTGCAATTTCTGCCATTGTGAGAAGGGGCCTTTCATTGAATCCCTCAAATGCAATTGCAATGACAAACCTTAAAACCATGACTTATAGTCCATTATTGCTTTGTCCATATCAACAATATCACCTGGTAATGTACCCTTTCCCACTGTGATATAAGGGTCTAGTATTTCTTCATGATATTTTGAATTGAAACAGAAGTAGTAGTAATGCAATTAGGCTATCACCTTGTGGTAAAATCACAAGCCTAATATGTAAATGGTGTCATTGTTATTCTGGTGTGATGGCAAAGAAGAGCAAACAATAACTTTGTTGAGTACAAATCTAATTTATGTATGAAGGCTACTGCTCGTGCTGGCTGCTCAAATCTGATAAGGGTCCAATGAGAGGAGGGAGGAACTGAAAGAGCGCGCACGGGAGACGGGAAGCGGCACTGTGGTTTAGTGTGGTGCGCACCTCCCCTCTCCACAGCGCACAGAGCCTCTCGCTTTACGGAGCCTGCTTGCAATTCCTGATCTTCGTGCCAGAGCCTGCAGCTGTCTCTGTTCGCCCCGCTGCCGCTGCTGTGGGAAGTCGAGGCTCCGCAAACCATTTCCCCCTTGAGGTGTCAGTGCAAACCTGAAGGATATCGCAACTTTTAAACAATTTCCAACAGTTAGGAGACTGAACGATGACACCTGACAGCTCGTAACGTACCATCCGCGTGTTGACTGAAATATTTGCAACTGTTAAGGCTATAGGAATGTGGAAAACAAGTCTAACTCAGCGGTGAGTGTTGTAATAGGTTTATTATTACTCTCTCTTTTTTTTTTTCTCTCTCTGTGTGCGTGTGGTCGTGTGTGTGTGGTCGTGTGTGTGTATGTGTATGTGTGTGCGTGTGTGCGTGTGTGTGCGTGTGTGTGTGCGTGTGTGTGTGTGTGTGCTTACACTCCAGTGTTTGTTAGATTGAACATAGGCGTTCCACAAAATTAAGTTTGGAGCTTAAACGTGGAGTCTGAGCACGACCGGTTTTGAATGCAAACGCCTTTACATTAAAACATAATGACTACGGATATACCAACATATCACTGACATATTCAACCTATACTTTTGTGTTCAAAACTGCCCTTAAATACCTACTATTTCCTTTCTGTCCACCCCTCTCATGCAGTAAAAGGACCTTCCTCTGCCCCTGACACCATGACCACGGACCTGAACTTGACCTCCCTGATGAATGTATCAGATATCCACAATCACACAAGAGGATGTTCCCTCACCAAAACCGGTTTCCAGTTCTACTACCTGCCCACTGTTTACATCATGGTCTTCCTCACAGGGCTGGTGGGCAACAGCCTGGCCATTTGGATGTTTGTGTGCCACATGAGACCCTGGAGCAGCATCTCCGTCTACATGTTCAACCTGGCTCTGGCTGATTTCTGCTACGTCCTCTCTCTGCCCTTCCTCATCTTCTACTACTTCAACAAAACAGACTGGATATTCGGGGATATTCTGTGCCGACTGCAGCGTTTCATTTTCCACGTGAATCTCTATGGAAGTATTCTGTTTCTGACCTGCATCAGTGTTCACAGGTACACCGGGGTTGTGCACCCGCTTAAGTCTCTGGGCAGACTAAAAAAGAAAAATGCAGTTATTACCAGCGCGTTGGTGTGGGTGGTGGTTATTATAGCTATCTCCCCCATCTTATATTATTCTAGGACTGGCTTGAAGCGTAATGCCACCACTTGTTATGACACCACCACTGAAGATGAGTTACCCGGTTATTTTATCTACAGCATGACTTTGACTGTGTTCGGGTTCTGTATCCCCTTCCTTATCATATTGTGTTGCTACGGCATGATCGTCAACGCATTAATATACAATGATATGAACAACGCTCCCCTGCGGCAGAAATCTATCCACCTGGTTATCATCGTGCTTGCAGTCTTCGCCGTCTCATACTTGCCTTTCCATGTGATGAAGAACCTCAACATGAGGGCCAGGCTGTACTTCCAGAGCCCGGACATGTGTGATTTTAACAACCGTGTCTACGCCACATACCAGGTGACACGGGGGCTGGCCAGCCTCAATAGCTGTGTGGATCCTATTCTTTACTTCCTGGCTGGAGATAACTTCCGGAGAAAGCTGTCACGGGCCACTAAGAAGCCCTCAAGGAAGGGGGACAATGTCATCCAGTCCAAGAGCGAGGAGACGGCTCTCAACAGCCTGGCAGAGTATGTGGAGAATGGGGACCAGAGGCTGTGAAAACTCACCCCTGTGTACCCGGTTACGGATGTGGATCTCTATTAACTTTAGAAAACCATGATGGACTTTGTATTGAATACATGAATGCACTGTGTGGACTGAAGGCTGTTTAAAACTTAATGGCTGATGGTTTATAGAACTGTAGGATAAATACATTCATTTAACCCTGTGTTAACCAATTGCTCGCTTGCAGCCTGTCGATGATGATAAGCTATTGTACTGTATTGTCCCGTACACGTATTGTACTCTAAATGTCAGAGCCATCACTCTTTATTCTTATCAAATAGTCTATATTACCTATATGTCGGACAAAATGAACATTAGGATCAGACAAGCTGCGGGAACTAGGTTTCCCTACAAGCTTCACAGTCCTGTTCATCAATTTGTTCTGGAAAAATAGGACTGAACGGATGGCACCTCTTAGTCATCGGGCTGATACTTAATCAATAGCTATTAAGCAGGTGAGAATGTGGTTAAGGAAGCATACCTGCAATGGCTCTTAGAGAAAAATTAAATGCACTGAACCTAAGACTGCTGGATGTGCCGTGCAGACATTATAATGCACTATGACCGGGGACTCTCGGCTCAGAGAGCTACCCATCACTCCTCGTTTATTTCTCCATCTATTACTGACTCGGCGAGGAATGTGGTCGACTAGTTTTTCAATTTGACAGCACTGAGTTTAAGGTCTGCAACGGCTCTGTTACCACAATCTTTCTCTCCTTGTAAACCTGTTCCTTACAGAGAAAAAGAGAAGATAATACTTACAGTATTTTTTGTGTATATGATACTACACTGAATGTTCTTTGATGTGTGCTGTACAGGATGTTGTGACGTTTCAGGCTAGTATGTGTTGGTAACTCTTCAAGTTGGTACCACCAATCCATACCTTTAGTGCATGAGTCCAGTATCAAATACCATCAGTAAATAACCACAGTATCTAATGTAGTGTTTATTGCAGTCTAGGGAATAACAATGCATTTTAAATGAGCATAAACGATACACACACTCAATCATCTGCTTTGTGACTCCAACATATTGAAGACATGTTTGTATAAAATACCTCAAAGTAAATACTGCACTGTGTCCGTGTTTTGACAGATAATCATTTCTCTTTTACATCTGTTGTAATCACTTTGCAGAAATGATCGTGGAGCTCTCAGGGTGTGTTTTACCCTGGACTAGGTGTTTGATGTCTGTACTAATACTATTGTAAATCTGTAATGTGGTCACCTTTTGTCAAGAAAGGAAGTGAATCACCTGTACAGGATATCTGGGGCCACGTGTATCTTTGTCAATAAACTTTTTCTATAAACTGTGCCAGACAATTTTACGAGACTCACATATTTCTTTCAGGCTAGTGCCTCGTTTTAAGTCTAAAATGTAATGGATTAATGCCTCTTTGTTTGTGCCAGCTGCACGTGTTCTTAGTTAAGCCCGCTCACTGTTACGAGTGAACAAACACTGTTGGTTGTGTAGACATGCGTGCAGAGTCCCTCCATTCGCTGCTCCTCTAGTTTCTCCACAGTTCTGTTTACTTTGTTTTTCAACACAGCCGGGAGGAAGCGAAGGGACGAGGGAGGAATAAAGAGTGGCACCTTTTTCTCCTGGCTTATCCTAAGACAGCTTTTGTGTCTTTCACAATAGTGTGGGGTTATTGATGCAGACAAGTGTGCGAGGCTGTTGCCAGAACCCCGGAGCTGCGCCATGTTGTGGGCACAGGAAACCAACTAACCTTCGTTCTCTTAACAGGGTCCATGAAAACAAACGCCTTTTGATTTCCTGGCTTTGAGGTGCAAACTGCATGGCTGGACTTGGCGCACAAGTGTGTGTGTGTGTGTGTGTGTGTGTGTGTGTGTGTGTGTGTGTGTGTGTGTGTGTGTGTGTGTGTGTGTGTGTGTGTGTGTGTGTGTGTGTGTGTGTGAGAGAGAAAGTGTTTTTTCGCCCCTGTTATTGAGCCGAAAGGCAATGCAGCCCTTCTTCAATAGGTGACTGTTATAGCTGTCACTAGTTGTTGCCATGACATGGACATAGTTTACAGGAATATTAATATCTGTTTATTTGTATTATATGCTACATATTCTATTGCCCTGTACACTTGATTTGATTAAAGGAAGGTTATATTCAGACAAACTAAATCTCAAGCCAAAATCAGAGCTTTTGTTTTTGAGTGTCAAATCTTGACTTGCAGAAAGCTGGGATGTTTGCCAGTATCTCCTCCCTCCTTTCTCAGCCACCTTTCACCTCTTTTCTTTCACATCCTCCTCGCTTTATTCTGAATCTAGAATTGGAAAAAAGCCTTTTTCTTCCCTGCAATTTTCCACCTATTCTATTTGCATAAGTGTTGGGAAGACAAAGAAGGAAGAGTGAAGTGTGCAGAGTAATGGCATCTGTGGAGAACAAAGTTTGTGTTTGTTTTTCCCGAGGAAACGGTTGGTGGCAGGGGGGCCCACATTAGAGACAGCTAAACTAAAATACTGAGCTTTGTTCTTGGAGATATACCGTGGGAGCTAGCAGAACCACATCTATCACAGGGGCACCTGCTTTCGCCAAGAACTACCGCTAACCACACAAAACCCGAACATGATCAAAAAGCAGTTCGTATTTGGTGAGGAACTCATGATACAAACAATCATGGGACAGCATGATCGCAGTGATGTGGGAAAGCTGTAAAATTCAGTGGGTCCACAGACACCATGTGACAGAGCTGTAAAGACCACTGGAGCAGATATAAGAATATTAAGTTCCCACTATGGCCAGCATTATAGTGAATCATGCCCTAAAAACCCCAATAAAACCTAAAATTATAAGCATTTTTCAGATTTTACATCTTACTTTACACTGAATTTTGTTTGGCAATGCACAGCACTTGGAGATAAACAGTATGCTGTCGTGCCGAGGACATGGAGTCGGAGGCGGTCCAATGGAGATGTGAAAAGGGGACTTTAATAGAGAGCAGAGTAAGACATGTTGTCGGCTCGCAGCCCGGGTCGACAAGAGGAAGAGCCAAGAGGGCACACACTATAAGTCAACACATAAAATGTCCGTGCGGGAACAATAGCCGCAACTGTAGTTCCCAGTTTGAATTATGAACCAGTAGTTAAATACGTGGTCACCACACAAGCCACCCCCAGAATTCAAACAAGGCAAAAATAAATCCTCGTGCCCGTGGAGGAAGCACCACAGGGGCCGACGAGGGTGTGGTCGCAGGTGAGGACCGGGCCATGGAACGGGCCATGAAAGGGGGCCGCAGGAGCGGGTAGGGGCCCTAACAAGGGCGAGGGCACGCCCACCGGGGGCGGGCCGGAACGGGCCGTCGTAAGGGGGCCGCAATAGGCGTCGCGGAGAACCCAACAGGAAAAAAACGCAACCCGGCCGCAGGCAGACGTGCCGCGGCGGCGGGCATGAAGTCCTCAGCAGGCGCTGAGGTGTCCCGGGAAGCAGGAGAGCAAGCCGGCCGCAGGCAGACGTGCCGCGGCGGCGGGCATGAAGTCCTCAGCAGGCGCTGAGGCGTCCCCGGGAAGCAGGAGAGCAACCCGGCCACAGGCAGACGTGCCGCGGCGGCGGGCATGAAGTCCTCAGCAGGCGCTGAGGCGTCCCCGGCAAGCAGGAGAGGAACCCGGCGCAGGCAGACGTGCCGCGGCAGCGGGCATGAAGTCCTCAGCAGGCGCTGAGGCGTCCCCGGAAAACAGGAGAGCAACCGGCGCAGGCAGACGTACCGCCCGGCGCGGCATGAAAAGGTCTCCTCAAGCAGGGCGCTGGAGGCGTCCCGGCAAGCAGGAGAGGAACGCCGGCGCGCAGGCAGACGTGCCGCGGCGCGCCGGCGATGAAAATCCTCGGAAGCAGAGAGGCCAGACAGGGTCCCGGAGCGTGCCACCCACAGGGCCGATGGAGCATTAGGGCGACGTTCCGGAAGCTGTCCGAGGCCGAAACGGGGTCCAGGAGTGCAGACACCGCAGTCGCAATCGATGAAACGTGAGTGGAGTCTGGAACCGCCGTCGATGGTGCTAAAAAAGGTGAGTGTCCACATGAGAGTCAACCGGCTGGTTCGAACCTCCTCTCCGGCACCAGAAAACTTGAAGAAGCGGCCGATAGCATTAGCACGTAGCCGTTAAGCACTAAGCCGTTAGCATTGAAAAAAGGCCCCCCGTCATAAGCCACTATTCCATAGCGCTAGCTAGCAGCATGGGTAAGCTGCTAGCCGTCGTTTAGCCCCCACGTCGGTCAGGCCCGCTAGCTGGCAGCCATGGGGTGGACTGCTAGCTGCGTCGTCTAGCCGCACGTGGGTCAGAGCAGACCGGGATGTGCAGCCGCACGGCCCGAAGAAACAGACCCCACGAGGTAGCATGGGGCTTGCTGGTCGACCCAGCAGGTCGTGCATCGTCCCCCCGTTGTATAGAAAGCGATGCGGGAACGGCGAGCAACGTCCCCAGCCTTCTGCGAGCACGCACCGAGCCTCAGTGCGCGTGACGCGTGGGCAGCCACGACGTCTCTTAATCAAACCCCGGCATTTTCGAGAAGGAACTCGAGTTCCTTTTGCCGGTGTTCGGCTCCGTCAGGAACACCTTCCCAGACGTATCGGGGTCACCAGTGGTAAGTGCCGAGGACATGCGAGTCGCGGGGGGGGAGGCGTCGCAATGGAGATGTGAAAAGGGGACTTTAATAGAGAGCAGAGAAGACATGTTGTGGGGATCGCAGCCGGGTCGACATAGAGGGAGAGCCAAGAGGCACCACGACTATAGTATAAGTTCAACCATAAAATGTCCGTGCGGGAACAATAGCCGCAACTGTAGTTCCAGTTTGAAATATGAACCAGTAGTTAAATACGTGGTCACCACAATGCCACTATTTAGGCGGAAGGTCTTGTGTTTATATACCTTAACTCTACCGTTTTTTCAAAGAAGTCACATGTTTTCTAAAACTGTTGCAATTAAGTATAACATGTTACGAAAAAATATTTGACACTGTGCTACGGCTAACGCCTATATTATCATGTGGTGTTATTTTCCCTGATCAGGCATCCACCTTCCGTCCAACACCACAACAGAGCGTTATGCACTTCATATGGTAAACGTCAGTGATGGAAGTGAAAACAGCTTCCAGTTTTACTTGTAGCGGAAGACAAGACCGAAACCAAAGGGGGGGATTTCTTGTCCCCAGGTAAGGATGGCTGCTCATCTCACTGACAGGCTGTTGATCAGCATCGATCGACATGGCACTGATCAGTCTGAGGACGAATGAGAACCGCACTCATTACCCCACACACACAGGTAAGAATGTACAATAAGAACAGACAATATATAATAAATATAGACAACTTAAGACACAAAACACAACTGCACAAAAATATAATGGCAGAATAGAGTCAACATACGAGACCGCATCGATAGAGATATAATAATACAGTAGAATAACTCAAAACATAATAATATATACACATCATCACGAATCGCATCAGCAAAGAGATCGACAACAGACTATACAGATACAGTATAAAAATAGAAAATAGCATCATGTGGGCTCTGCCTGGCGGAACTAGGACTGACTCAGCCACATAGTGCCAATTATATTCATGCAAGTGCGCCCTAATTTTCTGCATCTACGAATCTGTGTGAGTGTGTAATATAAATTCGTTTTTGTCTGTAGAATTTAGCGTTCGACACAAGAATATTGCTAACCACTCTTTCGTAGCTCACAGAGAAGGTTTCCCACGTCATTGGTACCCAATGAGAACTATTGGTGAGTAATCGTCGTGGGCAGAGTACTGAATTAATCCACTACTGTCTATGCTTAGGTGCTCATCATTTATTTGCTTGGTAGTAATCGGAGTGCAGACAGTGTGTGTCACAATTATCTGGGCTCTAGCATACATGCGTTTTTCAGATCATATTATGACAGTACAAACTCAAGACACTGTCTCAGTGAGATTATGATAGAGGCATCTCATGCTATAGACAGGAAATCAACTTTTGGTTGTCTATCACTTCCTTTTTCGCGTACACAGACTAGCTCACCATCAGGGATATTCTCTAGCCACTTAGCCATAATTGCGACACACATAATAATTTGTTAGAGTACATATATGCGTATCTGTTGTAGTCATGATTGTTTGGACGGGATAAGAGTGTATGTCGTGATGCAGAGGGGAAGTCGAGCTACACGATGTGAGGTATAGCTTTTTTTGAAACTATGTCAGAATATAAGTACATTGTCGTCCAATATCATATACTTATATTCGTGAACGCCCTGAGTTATTTATCTTAAATGCCTGCATCATACATTGATATAGAAAGCATGGAGCAGTTCACATTCTTTGGAGAGATAA